GCATATTATTTAAGGACAAGCATTTATTTCCCATTAGTATATAATTTTTAATATCAGTTACAAGTATATTTAATAGAGCAACAAATATTTAGCAAAACAAGTATTTCTGGCCTCCACCAATACATTAATTTTCATAGCAGAGGCAAATCGCAATCCAAGAGAGTGAAAACTTACTTAACATTACTAGAAGAGGATGACTGAATAGCCCAGGTGACATGTAATAATGGGATATTATGGGACCCAATTCTGATCTCATGTTCACTGTTTTTACAAAGGTATAATTGCATTTGACATTTTGATAATAAAGTTGAGTTACTCCTGGTTTGCACAGCTGTCAGTGGGATCAGAATCTGTGTCAACAGTTAGAATTCAGCCTGGGTGGGTAAATGTACCAAGTTCCATGTGGCTGGGCCTCTGCTTGCATTTGAAGCCCCATGGAGCGAATAGGAATGTGTGTGGGCACATCGTTCTGCCCATAGGGAGCTTGGTGCAGGATCAGGGCCTAATTTAAACAATCGACTTCTGAGGTTCTCTGACAGCTGTTCAACAACCTGTGTGAAATTAATTGGTGTCTCAATCAGTGGTCAAGTATCCACATCACAAAAACCTCTACCACACTTGACAGTCTTAGAGAGGCCTCAAGTGGCTGCTGATTTCAGGGTGTCCAACTGATTTTCAGAAGTGCTGAGCACTTCCAGTTCCCACTGACTTCAACTGATGTTGTGGACACTCTGACTTCCAAAAAAAAATCAGGCCAAGGTGCCTCAAACCTAAACACAGAGAAAGCAAGGCATCCACAAGTGGTCACTTCTGAAAATCTGGGCTTGAATGCTAAGTAGACAGTGCTATGCATTTGCTCCTAGTGAGGGCCCCTCCAGATCAGAATTAAAGCACATTGCCAGATAAACATGGGGAAACTTGTACTTCTGCCAGCTGTGCTGTATATAAATCAGAAATTTCAACTTCCAGTCTAGCATTATATCCACCTTAAGGGAGGAGGGATAGTTCAGTGGTTTGAGCATTAGCCTGCTAAACCCAGGGCTCCGAGTTCAATCCTTGAGAGGGGCCACTTAGGGATCTAGGGTAAAATCAGTACTTGGCCCTGCTAGTGAAGGCAGGGGGCTGGACTTGATGACCTTTCAGGGTCCCTTCCAGTTCTAAGAGATAGGGGTATCTCCATTAATTTAACAAAGCCACTACAAAGTTATGTATAGCAGAGAAAGCGTTTTTGTTACTAATTATTATTAATAAGAACATAAAGATAAGATCATAAGAACGGCAATACTGGGTCAGACCAAAGGTCCATCTAGTCCAGTATCCTGTCTGCCAACAGTGGCCAATGCCAGGTGCCCCACAGGGAATGATCAGAACAGGTAAGCATCAAATGATCCACTTTGCCCAAGTAGTTTATTGAGTTTGAACTCCCAGTAGTATAATCAAGACTAAGAGGATGGAGATTTTAATTTTTTTTTACTGTAGTTCAACAACAGATATGGATCCAGTGGCCTAATTTACAATGTGTTTACAATCAATCCATTGCACTATAGTGTCTTTCAAGGAGATGGTGTGTTTAAATTCTTCAGTAATAGGACTGTAGATCTTTGATCTCTTATCTTGATTCACTCTTCCCTTTGTGGGCATAACAACAGTAGTATAATTAATTCTTTGCATACTATTCCAATATATTTATACTATGAGTTATATTCTACTGGAAGATAAATAAAAATAATATATGGAATATGCAATGGGAGGAGCATATGTATGAATTACTTTTACATTGATTATGTATGGCATGAAATCATATAGTAGTTTGTATACCACAAGATTACATGTGAAAAAAAGTAATTTTAGAAGTGCTTTATCATTTAATTATAAACTTTAGCCCACCAATGCTGTTTCTATACACTTGTGTATTGTCCCATGTATCTGGCAAGAGACTTAAAAGGATAATTTCCCCTGAGGCAAAGTCTGTGCTGTACATGCCATGCAACCTCATTCTCTAGGTGTATTATAGTATTGCCTGCAGGCTAGGGGCTATCCAAACAAAGAGAAAGACACTGTCTCTGCCCGGAAGTTACATGGATTGAATGGGTGTAAGTCAGCACAGCATTTGCCCCGTTAATACTAGCGAAAGGTATGTACCTGAATCCCCCATCTATTAATGGGAAAACAATCTTTAGTGTATCCATATCATACAGCATTAACTGGATAACATGATAAGACAAAGTCATGGGTCAAATTCTGCCCTCTGCGTATATGCATTCCTAATAAAGTCAATAGCACAATCTAAGTGGGGCTGCACGTCCCACCGAGGCAGAATTTGGTTCCCTGTATGTAAAAATGCTTTCCTTGTAGACAATTTACACATTGACATATGTAATCTAATTAATGAGAAGTAAAACAGTGTTTTGGTGATCTACTATACATGTTGTTGAAGAGAGAGGATTGCTGATGTATGATATGCAGCTACTGCAACATTATAACTAAGGCTACATTTTAGTCATGGGTATTTTTAGTAAAAGTCATGGACAGGTCACAGGCAGTAAACTCAAACTTGGGCAGGGGGCTGTGGGTGCTCTGGGGGAGGTGGCCCAAGACCCACTGGTGCTGGGGGGGGAGGCAAGCCGGCCATGGCGCACAGCCCGGGACCCTTACTGGTGCTGGAGGGTTGGCGGGGCTGGCAAGGGCTCCCTACCCGGCTCTGCGTGTCCCTACAGCTCCTAGGCGACGGAGGAGTCAGGGGCTCCGTGCACTGCTCCCGCCACAAGCGCTGGCTGCGCAGCTCCCATTGGCTGGGAACCACAGCCAATGGGAGCTGCGTGGGCAGGGCCTGTGGGCACAGGCAGTGTGCAGGCACAGGCAGTGTGTGGGCCCCTGGCCCCTCCACCTAGGAGTGTCAGTGCCATGCCAGTGGGAGCCGGGGAGCCCTCCACCTCAAGATAAGCGCCCCTCCACACCCACCAATCCCCTGCCCCTAGCCCCCTCCTAAAACATCCAAACTGTTGCTGATGACAGGGCTGCCTGGCTCAGGCAGCCCAAGTCAGCACCAGCCACTGCAGAAGTCACGGAAAGTCACTGAATCTGTGACCTCTGTGACCTCCATGACACACTCGCAGCCTTAATTATAACACATGCCAGCATTTTTTGGACAAAGTTGTTCAAAAAAATATTATTTCCTTTTTATGTGTACTAAACATAGGTTTAGTAGAGCCCAGTCCTGCAGCCTTTGTTCCAGTAAAACTTTCATTGGGTCAATTTCTTCCTGGGTAGCCAGTCTGACTCCTGTGAAATCTGTGGGGCTGCAGAGTAGTAACTAAGAGCAAAATTTTGATAATTTATTTCAGTGAAAGTTCTGCCAGAATAAAGACTGCAAGACGAGGGCTTGGGTCTAGCCATTCTCAATATTCAGACCTCTCTTTCACGTCAGGGTAGTTTCTACTGCTGATTTTGCTCTTCATTCAAAGTTCCCTAGTTGCTGAATAACTCCTTTCATTTGAAAAAAAGATATAATACAGGATATGGCGGGACCCTGCAAGGAACCTGACTGTCTTCCCTGCAGCTCCCATACCCTTAACCTACAAAGCCAGGACCAACAAGTAACTGGTTCTTGGAAGCCACCCATTATCAGAGCCAGCAGGAGCAGACTTCAGACATCACAATGGACATCATCTGCACTTGAAGTTATGTAGACTATGAACTCTGCTACAAATCACCTCTACCTTTCCACCTGCCTTCCTCCTCACTTTCACATCCCCCAACATTTCATCAACTTCATCCCTTCCTCCTCTTCCCTTTTCATCTACTTCCCACCTACCTCCCCCAAAAGAACAGGGGAAAAAAGTCTATGGAACAAACAAGAGGTATGCCAGTCTTCAACCTGACTACTTTACTTGGATGTTATAATAACCTTTCTCCACACTTAGTCTTTTAGATTATAAATTCTTTGGGGCATGGACTAAGTCTGACCATGTGTTTGTACAGCACCTAGCACAGTGATTCTGATTGCAGTAGCACCCAAAGGCAAAATCATTTCATACAGTAAGTAGTTGCTTTTTCTTCAAAATAATTGATAAGAGCCTGACTGAAGTGTTGTAACATTCACTGTAGCAAATCCACCAAGGCACAACACCCACAGTAGGACTCCAATCCTTTCAGGTAGTCAGAAAGATCATTTCAAATGGTGGGGGGGGGGACATTTTATTTACAAAATTGATTATTGTTTCCAGATATTGGGGGGAGGGTAAAAAAGCAAAACAAAAAACAAACCACAAAGCATACATGTAGGTAAAACCTACAAAATTTAAGAGTTAGATCTCTACTTTCATGCAAGTATTCACTTTACAATATAGAAACATCTGCTTTTACAGCCAGCTTAAAGAAAAAAAACATTCTGTACACTACTTGAAATTAGCTCTTTTCTGATAAACTGTTTAGTATTAAAGTAAACCTATAACCCATACATCAAACTTACAAAGTTTAAAGTTAGTTCTCTGACTTGAATGCATTTTAATTATCTTTTCATGGTATTCACTGGATAGGAAATAAAAATGTATTCTCAAAGCTAACAAAAATTAAAAAAAAAAAAAAAAAGAAGACACATGGGAACAAATTTATCCATGTTTAATTCCATTGAGTTATACCATGGATCAATTTGGCCACTGGTGTGTAAAATATTATGTGACATGACCCATCACAGCAAAGATAATGTAAAATTTAATACCAGATTCAAATGAACTATGAAGGGATTGTTACAAATATTTCATAAATAAAATATACAACACAGATTTATTATACACATTTCATTAGTAATAGGGAAACAATCTTTTAGATGCATAGCAAATAATTTTCAAAACAAACTTATTTAAGCAATATCAGCATAAGTAGTAAACAAGAATATAGCTGTTATAATGACAAGATTACCTTATTCAGCAGCTTAATTCTTGCTAATTTTTCAAAATTACTCATTTGGTCTGTTGAATTATACTAGTCCATAATTAGTTCTAATTAGCTATTTGAAAATGGTCAGGTGGATAACTGAAGATTCTTTGTGTGTATGGGTCATTGTCTGTTTCCATTTTCTGTCCCATATAAGTGTGATAGCTCTCCTGATGGAAGTGTTCACAGTGAAAGTTAATCCAGTCTCTTTCAGTGCTGTATCTCTCTGCTTCAGCAAGGATCCTAGTTAGAGCCATAATGTAACTTAATGCCATCTGAAGGGTCTCATATTTGGAGAGTTTTTTATCTTGACCCCACTGTGGAACCACCTTTCTTAGTCGATCGAAGGCTGTGTTCAGTCCTTGCATTCTTCTCCTTTCCCTGGCATTAGCAGCCAGTCTCCTTTTGGCAGCACTCTCCATTCTTTCTGAGCCACATTTCACTACGCAGCCTGTTCCACTTTTGCACTGGGTATCTGACTCTAAACCAGAATCCACGTTTGATTTAGAAGATTTCATATTTTTGCCACTTTAATTCTGAGCCTTCCTCACCCTCCCAAAAAAATTGTAGTAGCTGGAATGTGTTGGTAAAAACAGTCTTAGAACACAATATCTGTACTTCGAGTGTGTTCCCAGAAGTCAGAGTGAGAGGTTGTTTTTTTGTGGTTTTTTTTTTACAGCATCTCCAAAAAATAACAGTTTTCCAGGAGTTTTACAATTGTTGCTTATTGTTTAATAAAGAAAAAACAAACAGAACTGTAGTTAGCAACTAGTTTGTTACTGTCATTCTTTACATTTCTTTAAGCTTGGCAAAGAGAGAAATAAACGCCATCTCCATTCTCAAAAATTCAGTTTCTGAAGAAAAGAAGTCCATTTAATCCAACAAGATTTTAATGGATTAAACACACATATTCCAGTGGTCAGTTTATGTCAACTGGCAGGAAGAGCCCCAGGTCTTCTCAGGATAATGTATTTTGTAATGGAGAACTGTGGCAGTCTGAAAAAGACTTTCTGTGAGTGAAAGAAAGATTGCTCCTTCCTCAATTACTGTGGGTATGCAGTGATCATATCTTACAGGCAAGAAGAGGCTTTATAAAAGCAGCAGCAAGAGCTGAACAGGTGGCAGCAGGTGGGTGGGCAGCCCTCTGCTTCCATCCCAGTACCTTCCCACCCTGGGAACTGCGGGGGGGACGGGGGGGGGGGGACACAAAATAAAAAAACCCAGAGCCATGTCCAAAGCCATGTCTGTCCAGCACTAACAACGTGCCATCTGGACTACTGGCTGGCTGGCCCCACAAGAATCACAACAGTTAGGCAAAAGTCTTTTCAGTGAATAATCTTTTGCAACTCAGCAAAAAATCTGTCAACACATAACTAAAAGTATTTATTAGAAACTATTGGGGGTGGCAGAGGTAATTGTTACAAGGATAATTTCATGCTTTGTGGAAATGTATAATACAGTTTGGGACTGTACAATGTTGACTCCAGATGACTGTTTATCTATTAGAAAAGCTTTATGACTCAGAATTTAAGTATTATTGTATATACTATGTGGAACATTTCTGTAGGGAGCTCAATATTTCAGTGGATACTGGAGAGCTGCAATATATTTAATTTTTAATATAAAGGAATTGTTCAAATATATTGAAACTGAAAAATATTTTCATAGTAATTAAGATGTAAATATGGACTTATCTAATGGAAAATGAATTCAAAATATATGAGGAATGATACACACAGGCACCCTCTGGTTATGTATATAATGCATGCAAACACACAGTATATACACAAGTGTCTAAAATTTATATAGAGAGGGAATGCTGCTACTTAGGAATATCTCCAAATAGGTAAAATGAGTAAAAGGAGCTCAGAACAACTAAAATTAAAAGAAACAAAATAATCTGTTCACCATCACCAAAAGAATTTCTGTTGCTGATTATAAAGACCCTGTTTAATTTTGGTACTTAATATAATTTCAGCGTGTTTTTATTGCTCTCGTTAAATATAGATTCACAAATTTACAAGGAACTTTTATTTATTTTATTCTGTCTTTATGAAATATGCAGGTCAAAAATGTGTCACATTATGATTTATTATGTGTATTTGATTTCAAGCTTGATTAAATTGTTACCAAGTACTTGTAAATTAGTTATTTTTCATTAGGGATTGAATACTGTATTTTTGTCTAAAACTCTATACTAATTGGTTCCATTATGACTCCAAAACCCCGTGTAGTTGTAAACAGTTGATTAATCCCTAGCAGAAGCAATGACAATGAAATGAGGTTGAATAATCTGAAAACAATAGAATGCAATTGAACATTAATGGACTCCAGCATGACAGATGTTGAACACCGGCTGTTATGCACAGTTGCTCTGCTCTTAATATTCTGAATCCTAAATGGTCTTGATCGTGGGTGGTGATGGGTAGTCCACATTATTCCATTATTAAAATGTCTGCTGTGTTTTCAATTTTTAAATAAATGTCTTGTTGACATTTCATCAGAATGTCTCACTTATTCTTTTCTATGCGCATTGACCTATTCTCCCCACAGTCAAAAGAGCTTTACCCACTACATATTAAAATATTACTGTCCAAACAACAATTTGTGAGACATTGTTTTTGGTGTTTTTGTCTAAGAGAAAGAGTTGGAACAGTAACTTCCAGAAGATCTTGTGCCTACCAACAAATGTAGTTCATTTGTACAGCCCACTACCTATATGAAAAAGGGGAGATCGGAGACTGGTAAATAAATTCTATTTTATTGCTTACTCAGCAAAAGAGAAATAGAAGAGACATGGATGGAGTTTTTCCTTCTGTATTTTTCACTTTCTCTCATATAGTTTGATTTCCCATATATTTCAGTCAGTCTCAGATATCGCTTATGTTGCCTTATTTCCCTTCCCTATTCAGTCCCCAACTTCAATTCATTTTGCAGGTATTTTATCCTTTGCTCTAATTTTCTCAATAGTTTCTCACGTGCTCTGTAAGACCTTCCTGGGATTCATCTTCCAAAGGGTACATTACATATGTTGTTCTAGACTGCCATAATACTGTGGTGGTGGAATTCTTTAGAGATCTCTAGCTATAGCAGTCCCATCTGTGTCTCTTACATACAACTGTTTCCCAAGCACTCTCTTTTAATCTTCCTGAATAGAAAAGTATCATCTCAAATCAGCAAATTAGAAATACTAGAAAGAAATACTGGATGTATTCAATGAATCAGATTTCAACAACATACAAAGGACCAAAGTCTACTCTTAATTACTCAAGTGCAAATCCAAAATAACTGCACTACCTTTTGCAGAGTTATTCTGGATTTACACTTGCATAACTAACAGCAACATTTGACTTAAAATCTCATGTTTTTCTGTTGGAAACAGAAAAAACACAGCTAAGAATATTTCCTTCAGGGTATAGTCATAAGCAAAGTCACCAATACTGACTGTACTGTTAAATAACTGTGAATACTACGACTACAGAAATGTATTGCTAGTAACTAATATATAGTTGATATTTTTATTTTTCTATTAAATATTATATTGTCAGTGTTTTCAGGATTTATCAGTGGCTCCTGAGTTATGGATTTGAGATGTCTTCAGCATGTGACTAAGTTTTAAAGCAGTAAAAAGTATGTTAAAAATTACCTGCTGGATCTTAAAGTTAATTACTCAATTGCCAATTATTATAACAGCTAACAAGAGGAATTTAATGTCACCTACCTATATTATCGTAGCAAATATGATTTAATCCTCTTTGTACTGGGATGCCTGGGACCAAGCTCTAATTTTAAAAGGAAGTGGTAGGAGCCAAATAAAAATCATACCACTCAGTAGCATTTCAGATGGAAGCCTAGGAACTCACACATTACCTTCTCCAACTATATTAAGAATAGGATGTTTGAAATATCAATGACAATAGCTATCTTACCTTTTCTTTCAGGCCAGAACTAGCTCTTTGCCTTCCTCTCAGGTAGATCCCTTCCAAATACTGTTCCCAAATATTGTTCCCCTGGTGAAGTCTCTTGATCACTGCAGCAGGCTCAAAGGCAATTTATACTGCTTAATTGAAAGACTAGTGCCCTGTATCCTGCTTAACTGATAGCAGGTGGATAACTACCAAAATATGGATCTTATTAAGGGCTCAGCTTCAGGTAACGTTTGACTCAGTTCAGAATAAAAGCTCAGGATGAGGCAATTAGACCAGACTGGACAGGATAACTGATATAATATAGCCTGGGAGTACTTGTATCTTCTTTGGCTATTTATCAGTTTTTTCCTACCTCCAGTCATAAAGAACAATCAATAAACAAAACAATTCAAAAATGAATGTTACACTGAGCAGAAAGAAATACAGACACAAACACTCGGGAAGCTGAGCAGAACTGTACTGAAATAAAATAAAAATCCCTTGCAGTATCTTTTTCCAGGGCATCTTTAACTTACCTGTGCAAGACTTTCTTTTCTATACAGAGTTCTTCCAAAGCTTAATTTGCCATAAGGGTTCTTAGGAGTAAGTTTCTCTGACTGTCCAATAGATTCACCAGTGAAAGGAAATCCCTGCAATCATGTTGATGGGACCCTTTCTTTCTTCTCTTTTCTCTCTCTTTCTCACCAGGTCATCTTTTGCTGTTCCCCACTCACCCACTGTCCTATTTTCTAAAGTGATACTGCGGGCCTGCCACCTGGAAGCCATAAAGAACAGCTTCCCCAATGGTCCAGTTTGGATTTATATCTCCCATTTCAGCTCTCTTTGAACAAAACACTCAATTTAACTTTGTTTTAAACCATGTTTCTAGAATACAAATATCACTATAGTCCTCAAACAACAATACTGAAAAAAGGACTCATTCGTCTATGAACAGTTTGTGAACTCCCAATAGCCTGAAAGCTGCTTATCCAAATTATTTGTTGAATAATATGAACAATGAATACACACACTGATATCAGAATTGGTTCAAAAAGAGAAAAAAAGGGTTAGGTTAATTGGATAGTTAATTTTCTATGCTCATAGGATGGTTTTAAGGTACCTTTGCACTGCTATAGTAGCACAAAGAAACCTTGGCATAGGCCATTGGAAGCCAAGAAATTGTTCAGAGTACTTAGCATTATGTAGCATGTATGTATGTTCAAAGCACAATTCCCCGTGACTTCAGTTGCAGTCAGGACTGCTCAGCAATTTAGCAAATCTGGCCCCAGGTGTATCACATAGGAGAAACATGCAATTAGTGGCCACCTGTGAAAAGATTGATTTAAGAGACTTGCCCAGCATCACACAGGAACTTGATGGATACATCGATAGAATCCAGTTCTTCACAGTAGCATTCAACTTCCTTAACTATAAAACCATCCTTTCTCTTCCTTCAACCATCTGCCTCATTAACACCTTCCAGCTTCTGCAACAAATGAGGCAGGGGTCCTACAAACAACAGCTTCATTCACTACACAACCCTAATTCTTCCCCAGAACATCATCCATCCTGTGCACTGAATGAGGCAGGGAGCCTGTGGGAAAAGTAGT